TGTGCAGGCCGGCAGGGGGCGCCGGCGAGCGTTAGTTGCTGTGCAGGCCGGCAGGGGGCGCCGGCGAGCGTTAGTTGCTGTGCAGGCCGGCAGGGGGCGCCGGCGAGCGTTAGTTGGTGCGCAGGCCGGCAGGGGGCGCCGGCGAGCGTTAGTTGGTGCGCAGACTGCTAGGCTTCTTCTTCTGCAGGAATCGCGGCCGCTCCTGCCGACTCGCCTTGCGCTGACGGTGGCGCCGCCTCTCTTCTCGCTTCGCCGTCTGCTGATCCTCGACGTCCTCCTGCCGCTGCCGCATCGTCTCCACGCCGACCATGTCGCCGCGTAGCCTCGCCTCCTCTATGCGCTGGCACAGCTGCTGGGACTCCGCGCTGAGGTCCTGCAGGGCCTGGTAGAGCTGCGCGTCCTCGTTAGCGCGAGAGATGTCGACGCACACCAGCAGCGAGGCGAGTTCCAGCTCCTCGGAGGCAGCGTTGCGCAGCGCGAGGGACCGGTATCCCGAGCGCAGCCCGCGCAAGGGCAGCGTGGTTTGCGCGATCGTCGCCTGCTGCCCGAACATGTCCTCGTCCTGAACGACGAACCGCACGAACGCGAGCTCGGGATTCGCGACGTCAAACTCGCACGTGTCGTTCCAGAGCGGGTTGAACCCGCCGGCGTCGTTCCGGTCTTTCGCCGTGCGGTAGCGGTTCCCGGCGCCCCCGCCGCCGGCGCCCCCTGCCCCGCCGCCGCCGCCGCTGTCATAGTCCGCGCCGACGACCTCTACCTCGACGGACGGACACGAGATGTTTCGTCCGGGCTTCGGCAGGTGGCGCCCCGCGACGATGCGCAGCGAGATGGTGACGGGGTCGACGACGCCGACCAGAGACGACTTGTCGAAGGGGCTGTAGCCGTCGCGGCGCATGCACTCGGGTTTCAGCACGTACCCGCAGCGACCGTTGCACGCGAATCGCGCCGTGTTCAGCTGCGTCGCGCGGTCCGCCGTCTGGTAGTTGAGCGCGACGAGTTGCGATCCGGCGTTCCACGCGGCCAGCGGGTCGTAGTTGCTCGAGTCGACGCGCGTCCCCTTCGGATAGATGCGCGTCAACTGCAGCCGGTTGATGTCGGCGAACGCAGGCGCCCTCTGCGGGGCGAGCCACTTGTCGGCTTTGCTCTCGCTGAGCGACGACATCTCGTGGAAGTCTCGCGGCTGCTTCTCCGGGACGAACGCGACGGCGCGGCAGTAGACGATCAGGTCGGAGAGCTCCTTCGCGATCTTGTGACTGCGCTCCGTCTGGTGGCTCTCCAGGTTCTCGGCGAGCTGCGAAGCTTCTCGGATCTTCTGGATCCAGTCGGAGAGCTCCTCCGTGTCCGCGCAGCCGATCTCCCGCTCCGTCCCGTCCGCGAGACGCAGCCGGAACACGATCAGGTTGTTCACCTTCGACGAGGAAATCACGTCGGCGCCGCGGATGTCGATCGCTCCCTTCTGCATCGTTCCGAGCAGCGTGTTCTCGCCCTCCCCCTCCCCCTCATCGTCGTCCTCCTCCCCCGCGGCTGCGGGGTCGTCCGGGGCGAGGGCAGCGACGTAGTTTGCCGGGAACCACTGCTGCGTCTTGCCGCCGTAGTCGCCCGTCCACCACGAGTCGTTCTTGTCGGCGTCGACGTTCGAGATGATCGCGTTCTTCGGGAACGAGAGTTCGTCCGGCCGCCGCGCCGCGTAGTCATACAGCGCCCTCACGTGGCGGCGAGCGGCGAAACAGTTTGGGTCCGTGTATATCCCCGCGCCGGCGTCGGCCGAATCCTCGAGGTTTAGTCGATCGACGAGCTCGCGGTTCACCGCGAACCGGCGGTTCAGCGTGATCTTCTTGTAGAGCGGGTGCGCGACGTAGTACTGCACGAGCTCGGTGAGGCTGTCGAACGTCGCCGTGACGACGCCGTCGCCGATGACGTACGCGTCGCCGTCACGCCGGATGCGACAGTGCAGCACGGCGCGGCCGACGCGGAACGAGATCGCGAACAGGTTCGGCTGCGCGTCCCGGCCGCGTATCAGGAAGGCTCCGTCGCGGGGAACGCGCGACAGCATCTCCTGCGCTTCCTCCTTCGCGAGGTTCGCGTGAAACCACGGCTGAGCTTCGTGCGTCGCCGCGGCGACGGGCACCGGCTCCCCGAGCTTCAGCTCGAACTCCGGGCTGCGCAGCGGATGCTCTCGGTAGTAGTCGATGAGCTCGCTGAGGCTGCCGAACGCGACCTGGTCGACGAGGTAGTACCGCTCGCGTCCGCGCTCCTGCCGCGACTTGATGTGGCAGTGGTTGACGCGTCCCCGCCGCAGGAACGACAGCGTGTAGTCGCCCTTGAACGTCGAGCTGTTGCGGACGAGGAAGCAGCCGTCGCCAAGGTGACGGTTGCGATTGAGCAGCGTCTCGACGTACTCTCGCGGGAAGCCCTCCTTAGAGAAGTGACACCACGGCTCAGCGGCGTGCGGCGGGGGCGGCGACGCCCGCTCCGTGGCGCCACCACCGTCATCGTCGTCGCCCGCGGCGGCCGCCGCCTCGTCCGCTCCCATCGTCTCGCCCGTGTAGAAGAGTTTCTTCGCGGTGAGGACGAAGTAGTGCGGGTTCCACTCGCGCGCGAGGCGGTCCTCGAGGTAGAGGATCCCTCGCTTCAGCGAGAAGCGGATGTCCTGATCGTCCGGGAACGCGTCGTCACCCCCGTCCCCGCCGCCCCCGTCCGTCGTCGCAGCCTCTCCGGCATTGTCCGGCAGCTTCTTGTGCTTGATGACGATCTTCCGCCGCAGCTGCTCGGGCGACGGAAGCTGCCGCTCGTCCCGCTCAGAGGGCGCCACCAGCAGCATCTCGCCGAACACCTCCTGGAAGTGCCGCGCCATGTTGCGCTGCTGCGGCAGGCTGCAGTGGTCCTCGATGGACAGTATGACGGGGTACTCGGACGCGACGAAGGCGTGGTCGCGAATCACGCGGATCACGTCGACGAACTTGATCTTGCTCGTCATCGTGTACGCGTGCGTGATGATGGGCAGCTCCTTGGGGCCGTCCCAGCAGTCGAGCTCGATGCAGCGGCAGCCCATGCGCAGCGCGCGCGCGTACGCCTCGCACGAAGACTCGCTGCGGAGCTGGTCGCCCGTCAGGTAGGTGTTGTGCGACGACGCGATCCAGTAGTCGCACAGGGGGCGCTGCATGTCATCGCCGATGACTTCGTTGCGCGGGTCCCACGCCGAGTTCTCGCGTGAGAACAGGTAGTCGGCGAATTCCGCGACGGTGAAGTAGGGGTCGCTGGTGTGGCGGGCGGGGTCAGCGAGGAAGGCTGACATGAGCGCGACGACGGCGGCGGCGTCGTGACCGATGACGTCGTTTTGCTCGTTGGCGAGGAAATCCTGGAATCGCTGCAGCGTCACCGTCCGCTGGTCCGGGAAGTACGCGCTCAGGTCGCCGACGCAGTCCCGCGCTAGCAGCGCCAGCTGGTGGTAGAGATGCGCAAACTCGTCGAAGCCGAGTTCGCCCGTTCCGCCGGCGTCAGCCTCCGCGAACGCGTCCTTGAGACGAGCGGTCGTGACCTTCATGTTCGCCCGCGGCAGAAACAAGTTCTTGACGTCGCGCAGCTGCACCCCGGCGCCGCCGCCGCTACCGCCGCCGCCGCCCCCGCGTCCCGACGCTTGTTCCAGCTCACAGAACTCCTTGCGCAGCCATCGCTCCACCTGCAGCGGGTAGGGGGCGCCACGCGTGTCGTCGGCGAGCGACGAGAGCCCGCGCACCCAGTCCGCGCACTCCTCGCTGTTCGGCGCGACGAGGGAGAGCGTCGCGAGGTTGAACTCGGCTCCGTGGAGCACGACGAAGCAGCAGGACACGGAGACGGACGTGTCGTCTCCCGCGCGCTCAAAGTCGCGCGATCGCCGGCCCTCGCGCACCTCGCGTATCTCGCGTATGTCAACGCATCCCTCTGTCTTGTGCGCCTGCGCCATCGTGCGGTACCACAGCAGCTGGCGCGTCTCCATCTTCACGCGGAACGTACGCTTCTCGCGCTTGCGGTTGGCGGTGACGCGCGTCAGGCACGCCCCGACCTCGAGCTTGCGCCACAGCCGCTCGCGATACATCACGTTCGTCATCGACGTCAGTGGCGCCCTCACGTCCCCGTTCAGATGCGCGACACCGTCCACCGACATCTCGCGCGGCCGGCCAATCACAGACGATCACAGAGTCCGGCGCGGTCGCGTCGACCAATCAGAAACGCCGACGTCGGCGACGACTCCCCCCGTCCATAGAGAGGCTTCACGATCGTAGCACCAGATGGCGCCGTGCGTCTGGGGACGTGTCACGAGTTGTGCGATCCGTCACTCGGGCGCTAGCTAGCGGGTCCTTCTCTCTCGGATGAAACCGCGACGGACGTGCACATCTGTAAGATGATTGAGCGAGTGTGAGTGTGAATGCATCCGTCTACACAGCTAGTCTCTTGTCTATTCGCGCGCGCGTGCTAACGACTCGAGTGAGCACTGCCACGTTCGTATGCCTGCACTCTCTCCCTCTCATCTTATCTGTAGTCTAAACCGGAGTTCCCCCACCTGTACGGTAAAACATGCATCACAGCAGGTGACCTCTATATTATGAAGGTCGTGTGTACATGAAAGGCTACTTGTGTCATTTACTTTGAGTGACATTTACACACAGAAACCACTTCTACAGAACGCCTGACTATAAATGCAGCATTATCGTAATTTCCTTTGCCTCGCAGTTATACAACTTTGCCTGTATATATATACCTAAGCGTTTATCACACATGTATGCCCCCATACTGTCAGCCTGAAGCCCATCAACTATTCAATCAAACTCTAGGTTTTAGGGAGACTGCGAGGCAGCAAACATGCGTGTAGCACATGCAGCAGATCTCAGATAAATCTCACTCTTCTCACTACGGAAAAACGCGAAGAAAATTACGTTTAAGTTAATCGAAGACGTACAGTAGGACCTTGTTAATGGAATGCTTGACATTACTGCACATTCCAAGCATCCGAGTCAGTGTCATCATCATCACTGCAAGCCAACATATACAACCGCCGCCACGGCTGAGCGATAGCCTGGTACATCCTGATGGGATGTAACGAGGTGGTAAGGGGTAGAGGTACAGTGGGGTTCACACTTCTAGGCTGCATTCACGTCCCCAGATTCTACACACAAGCACGCACGCATGCACCCATGCACACACACATGCACACAGAGACAGAGCATGGCTTTACAGTGTGGCGTATGCCGCACCACGCAGTACGATGGTGTTTTTACGTCTACCGCCTGGGTACGTCTAGTCTGCGCTCTAGGCTTCGTCCTACCGTGTGCAAACACGGGATATTACGTGGTGTGTGGCGTGTAGTCCAGCATCTATATGTACTGCTGGGAGACAGGGCTGCCTACCCGCTGATTAACCGTGTTTATTAGAGCTGTGTGTACACTGACAGCGCAGCGGCGGCGGCTAGTGTTGATCCGCGGACGCGCACACATCAACATTGACGCACCAATCGTATATATATACACACGCTTAGCATCATATTATACATACCTTGCATTATTGAAATACTTGATAGGTCTTACACATACCCTGGATCATATTATTTACACTCGGAATCATATAATACATTTCCTGAATCATAAATCACCCCCTGGATTGTATACAATAGTCTGGCTTATTCGACCCTTGTTTATCCGACACAAGTTTAATCTGAGTGCTATATATGTATTGTACAATGTTGTGCTGCACACGCATCCAATAGCAGAATAGGGAATCTGGGATACAAACATTAACCACTCATTTTTTCAACAATAATTAATAATAGTTCTGTACTATGCTACCATTTTAGTTATTCTGTGAAATGACTGTTAATAAACCATATTTCATGCTTAAGTTATACTTTCACTTCCATTTAATCTGCAATTTGTTTTACTCTACCTCCTGTTTTTTAAAAACATTACACGATATCTTTCCATATTCGACCATCTATAGGTCGTGTCGAGGCAGGATAATCGATTCACAACTGCGCACATCCTGCACCACATTAGACAAACCGTGGAATATATTATTATTTATACATACCCTATATCACAGGACAGCACTGGCATATATACATGGGCTTGCTCACGATGTTTTTACACGATACTTGTGCAACTCTGTGTAAATCTTCCTCAACTTCTAAAAAGAGAATAAATGCAATTATTTAAAGACCACACAGAAGAAATCCGTGCCAACATCCACACAACACACTTGTGCGCACAACCCAGGAGTTGCTTATAAGTTCTAGTTCTAGTTCTAGTAATATAGCATCGCTTGCTATGCATTAATTACAGTCATGCTGAGCGGTGGAAGCTATAATTATTACTGAAGCTACTTCAATTTCCTCTATATAGTATATTTTATAATTGTACACGTGTGACAGCCAAAAACGCCAACCACACGATTAAAGAAGGCAGGGCCGTAGGCTGAGCAAATTCCTAGGGGGGGGGGCAAAATTTCATGACTCAACTGTGTAATGATAAGCGCCGGGTGCAGCTTTTGATCGACGTCCATAGTGTAGTAGGGGTGGGGGGAGGTAGGGGTCGGTCTGAGACAAGGATTTCACGGATAAGTGACCAAAAAACATGTTATATGGTTATTTACGATTATTAGCTAAGCTTATTTTCTAATTTTGGTCCAAAATCTAGGAGGGCAGCTGCCCCCCCCCCCCCTGACAGGTGATGGTCCTGAAAGAGGCAACTAGATACACGTAAGTATTTTATTTGCCTACTTACATCCACATGCTTTCCTACTTTTTTGTTGTATTTATGTAAGTTTTTATACCATGCCTGACGGTTAATAAAAAATAAATTCGGTCGAGTCTGCTTTAGGACCCCTAGTCTGTAGTGATGGGGTTAATATCATGATATTGATAGTGTGCAGGCGACGACGAATGAAGTATTATAGAGATTCCAAAGTACGCAATTAACTGTCTAGCAAATTTACTGGACTGGTAATCACAGGCACTTGGAACGTCTCAATAAATAAAAAAAAAGGTAAATAAACACGAAATGTATTTAATACCAGTCTTAATGTTTCTCTACTCTATTTCGCCTATAATCACCTGTAAATGCCGGTCAAATGCTCATCTGCAACACACAAGTACACCGAACGCCCGCCCGCGCTGTGCTGCGTGCACAAACAACATGAATAAGAGAGCAGGTAGGAAAGCGTGATCGCAAAATTCGCTTGACGCTCGCTTCATTTCACACCTTCACAGCACGAATACACATCCAACAGCTTCCATCTTGGCATCTATGTGTAGCTAAATGTTCACTTGTTCACTTATAACTCTGTCCTTTGTCCTTACCTACTCCTGCCAGAGATATCTTGTGAAATCCTGCAGGAAATGTTCTCTCCGTGAAAATGTAAAGAGAGTGTAAAGAGGACGTATCATCAGAAAATGCCTAACGGCGCTACTTTCGATCGAATACTGTAGTCGTGTGTGTGACGTCATGCCCGCGCGCATTATGCTTGGCTTGTCGGGCCTCGAAACTGAGGTTCGGAGGCAGGCAGCAGCTCATCCCGGCATGCAATGTGCCGCCATTACTAGTGTATAAACAGACATCTCGTCCACTTTACACTCTCATTACATTTTCACGGAAAGAACATTTCCTGCAGGATTTCACGTGATATCTCTAGCAGGAGTAGGTAAGAACAAAGGACATAGTTATAATTCGAACAAGTGACCATTTAGCTACACATTGATACCAAGATGGAAGCTGTTGGATGTGTATTCGTGCTGTGAAGGTGTGAAATGAAGCGAGCGTCGAGCAAATTTTGCGATCACGCTTTCCTACCTGCTCTCTTATTCATGTTGTTTGTGCACATGGCGGGCGTGCGGTGTACTTGTGTGTTGCAGATGAGCATTTGACCGCCATTTACAGGTGATTATAGGCGCAATAGAGTAGAGAAACATTAAGACTTTGGTAGTAAATACATTTCGTGTTTATTTACCTTTCCTTTTTTTATTGAGACGGTCCAAGTGCCTGTGTGTAGTACTTGCACTATCAGTCACTATCACCAATGCCAACAGTATAGCAATTATATCGAAATGCAAGACGTGTGTAGCATTCGTAGAAACACACACGTAGTATATATATGTAACAACGCATGATAACCACCAACCGTTGAACAAATATTTAATCTCTGACTTTAGAACTAACGTAACTATTTACTGAACGCAAACATAACAAGCTTAAAAGCTGTGCCTCGCCAACTAGCCACAAGTTACCCTCACGCTTCTCACTGGATCTGGATCTGGATAGTTTACTGCGTAGCCCACAGTTACGCTGAGAGGGTCTATGTCCCCCGGGGTACTGCCGGAACGTACCCTAGGTACGGTGGGATATACTGGAACGTACCCTGGTACTATCTAATATGCTGGACCC